TAGGAGCCATTATTTTGGGTGGGAGCTATAACAGTTGGGGACTCAATGTATGCATAAGCTCCTTCCAGGGAGAATCTGTAGACCTCATTTTATTGCTGGAGCCAGGTGTGGAGAGAAGGGATCGAGATGCCCATAAGCTCCTTTGGGATCCAGGAGATCTATTGTTTACCTGTCTCATTGGCTCCTAGATGCAGGCTAGTTAGAAGCAAACCCTCAGGCTGCTGGTTGCAAAAGCATTCAGATAAACCCTTTCCATGAAGAAAATAGGAATTAGGAGTTTTTTCCTTTTCCTCTCTGATAGCTGAGGAAGCTCTCACCTGTCCTTTTAAAATCATCTTGTTCTCTGTGACTCAGAATGCTGAGTACCTTCTCTCAGAGCTTGGTGATTTAGGTGCCATTTTTTGGGGGTGAGAATCATAGAAGTTGGAAGGATATGTGTTTGGTTCAAATTCTTCACTCCTCTGAGGAGGAAGTAAGATGGTTGACTAGAGGCCATCAGAGACTCCTGTCCAGAGGGAGAGATATTGGACAGAATGGACTCTGAAGCTCAAGGTGAGGGGCTGAGCTAAGGAAGAAGATAGATAAGAGCAGATCATTTCTGCTGAGGTAAGCTGTGACTCCAAGAAAACAAATTCTAGGTCCAGAGCCCATCGCCAAGAGTACTAGAGACCTCTCCCCCAAGCTGGAGGCTTGCTGTGGGCTCTCTGCAAAGGAGCAGGGAACAAAAGATCTCTTATTTTACCCCATGGGAGAGAGCCGCTAAACACCAGGTCTCTGTCTACAGGGAGGTCCCACATGTGAGCCCAGGCCTCATCCTGCCTGGCATAAAATTGAACAGATATTTTCCCTGCAATTCTGAACTCCCATCCCACCCTTACCCCCTCACCTGGCAGTCTGAAGACCTGCCCCCTGTAGAACTCAGAGTCTTTGGCAATTCTCTGAGGGGCCTGGGTATTATGTGGGCCACTGGACAGCACCATGGAAACAGTGACTAGTGGAAGCTGGGTAGAGTGGAGAGAGAGGGACACACAGGAGAGAGGAACGTGCTGCAACAGTGCACGGTGGGTATTGGCTTTTTTTGTATTTAGACTACTTCTAAGCATTTCTCATCAGGCTGATCTACTGGTGACAAATTCCCTTAGTGTTTGCTTGTCTGGAAAAGACTTTATTTCTCCATCATTCATGAAACTTTATTTTGTAGGGTAACAAACTTTTGGCTGACAGTTACTCTGTTTAAAAGACTAAAGAAGGGACCATGATCTCATCTGTCTTTTGAGACTTCTGTTTAGAAGTTTGCTGTTAGTCTGATGGGTTTATCTTCGTCAGTTACTTGATGCTTCTGTCTCACTCTTACAGGATTTTCTCCTTCATTCTGGTTTTGGCCAGACTAAAGAGTATGTACCTTGGTGATGTTCCATTTGTAGTGAATCTTCCAGGAGTTTGTTGACCTTTTTGTATCTGAATGTTTAAATCTCTAGACAGACTAGAAAAAGAATATTTTCCTTTAATATTCTCTGAAATAGGTTTTCCATGCTTTTTGCTTTTCCTTCTTTCTCGGGTATAACTATGATTCTTTTGTTTTTATGTTGTACATAATCCCATATTTCTTGGAGATTTTGTTCATTTCTCTTAATTTTTGTTTTGCTTTAGTTTTAATTGATTGGGTTAATTTGAAATCCTTGTCTTTAGGCTCTGAAATTCTTCTGTTTGGTTTAGTCTCTTATTAAGACTTTCCACTATATTTTGAAATTCCCTCAATGACTTTCATTTCTAGAAGTTCTGTTATGTTTTTAAAAATTTTCTTATTAATGATTTTTTAAAATTCATGTCCTGAATTATTCTTTTGGTTTTCTTGTGTTCATCTTTAACTTTCTCATCAGTCCCATTGAGATTACTTGTGATCCATAGTTTGAATTCCATATCTGACATTTATAAACTTTCCTTTTGGTTGGATCCATAGTTGGAGAGTTAGTGTGATCTTTTGAGGGCGTTGGGAGAACCTGTTTGCAGAACTGGGTATGATGAGCATAGTATCATTGGGGGTGTATCCCTCCCTACAAGCCAAGGACTGGTTTTCCTGCACCTCACCCACACCACGAGCTCATGCTTGGTAGCAGAGGTGGCTACATCTGCAGCATTGTGTGGTTGAAGGAGGGGAAGTTTCTGTCTCCATGTACCTTCCTGGGATATCCAGCTTTAAATTCTCAAGATGATGCCATAGCAGGCCTATGACCAGAGATGGTAGGACTCTTCTAGGCAAACAGTGTGGACAAAATGCTGGTTGCATCTGCTTGCATTTTTGTCTCACTGCAGCTTATAGTGGGGTAGTGGGAATCGTCCTCCCCTTCTCCTCCTCAGCTGGGTGGGGGCTACAGTTACATCAAGCCTAAACTCAGCCTGAAGGTCGGGCACATCCTGTGTCAAACAAAATTGTGTTTTGGACCTGTGATGAGAAAGTCTAGGGCCCTACCCAAGCAGGCAGCAGGCAGCATGGGTGAGAAACTGTTGAAAATACTATCTGCACACATCTTTCTCACCTGTAGTTGAGCAGGGCAGTAGAGAGTTTTCCAGGTGTGCATGGGAGTATCTGGGCTCCTCTTTCTTTCTTGTGAAATGTGTGGTTACTGCATGTTTGCCCACACTTCCCTGGCATCTAGGCTGTGAGAATGGTGCCAGGCACCAGCTGCTCGAGGCTTGGATGCCTGTGGGACTCTGTGTGGGTTCCTTTTCAGAAAAAATGGCTCTGTGCAATCTCCAAGGAACTCTTTAGATTAGGCCCATGACCTGCATGGGTCAAAGGGTTCTCTTGTAGACAAGATTATAAAAGTTTGTCTTGGAGAGTGGAGCCTTGGGGACTTCTCTTTTACTGTTTCCCCAAGTCCAGAAGCTTCTCCTGGCTGGGCAAGTAGTCCCGATCATCCCTCTCCTTATCTACTTTTGGTGCTTTCTTCACTTCCCTCCTTAATCCTTGCACTCTCACCTAGATGATTGTTTCAGAATGTGAGAATCTGCTTATGCTTACTATTATGGTTCCTGTCTGTGGAGAGGGTACGTGCTACCTGTGTCTGATTAGCTGTCTTCCACAAGTTCTTGAGTATAGAAGAAGAGAACTTTTTCCAGTTTACTTTATTTGCCAACATAACCTTGATAACTAAAGTGCTTATGAGAAAGGAAAATAGAGATCACGTAGGGGTACAAATGCTGAAGTCTTAAACCAAGTATTAATATATTAAATCTAGTGATTAAAAAATAGGACAGTATATCACAATTGAGTTAATTAACAGATTAATGTTATTTATCAAATTAGATGAATAAAGAGGAAAAATCACATGAGTCAATATTTCTAGGAGAAATATGTGATGAAATTTAATAACCAGGCAGATAAAACTTCTTTCTTTATGCTTTCTCATTGATGTGTGGGAGTTCTTTGTGTCTTTTGGATATGGACCTTTCTTTCCAATATAAGAAATCTTTCAGGCTCAGTGCCTGTGGCTCAAGCGGCTAAGGCACCAGCCACATACACCTGAGGTGGCAGGTTCGATCGAATACAGCCCGGGCCCGCCAAACAACAATGATGGCTGTAACCAAAAAATAGCCGGGCGTTGTGGCGGGTGCCTGTAGTCCCAGCTACTTGGGAGGTGGAGGCAGGAGAATCGCTTGAGCCCAGGAGCTGGAGGTTGCTGTGAGCTGTGATGCT